CTGGCCCGGTCCCTGCGGCGCGGTGCGGTGCGGCACGGCGCGGCTCCGGCACGGCCCCGGCCCGGTCTCCGCAGCGTGGCTCCGGCCCGGCCCCGGCCCGGCTCCCGCGGCGCGGCTCCGGGTCGGACCCAAGCCCGGCAACCCCGGCCGGAGCGCGGCTCAATTCCTGTGGGCGGGGCTTGCAGCAAGCCCCGCCCCCAGGAATTGGGCCCCGCTCTTGCTAAAGCCGGCCCTGCTCAGGTGTCTGAGTTTTCAACCACAGCCAACCATATGGGCTGGGGGAAGGACAGGCTGTACGACAGCCGTGCATCCCGCACGGCTGGCTGGATACTGCATGGCTGGGTCCCTGCACAGCTGGATGGATGATGCACCACTGGATGGAAACGACCTCGAAGGAGAATGTTTCGCAGGATCCAGCACTGATCTGGGTGCCAGCTCACAGCTGTGCACATCTGGGGCTTTTACTCACCTGGCCTCATCCTTGCTCAGCTCCCTGCCCGTGTCTCTGTGGTGGGGGCTGTGGATGACAGCAACTTATGTTGGTGGGGAGCATAGGAACGTGGCCCTTTGATCTTTCTCAGGGTGGCCCAGTTGTTAGCAGGGTGGGGCTGAGCAGAGCAGCCATCGGCCCCGATCACAGCAACTGTGGCGGGAGGGTTTCTGAGAAGCCCCCACCTGAGTGTGTGACCACGCGAAGGGGATGTTGCAGCCTGTGGGATGCCGTATAACTGGGAGCTATGCCTGTGCAGCACCAGAGGGGAAATAACACAGCAGAGGCAGGGATAGAACCCAGGAGTCCTGACTCTCAGACCCCCCCACTCTAACCACTAGACCCCACTGCCCTCCCAAAGTCAGGGATTGTTAGTGCCAACCAGTGACGTGTTCACTGTCCCTTACAAGCCACTCTGGTCTCAGACCTGACAAACTCACTACACCTGAGGCACTGCTTCCCTGGTATTTACCCCTGAAGGGTGGCGTGTGAGGGCTCTACTGAAAGCTGATAACTCGACAAGCCTCGTGCTCACTGTGAGATGTGCCTACAGGTACTAGTTCAGGGATAATGTCTCTATCCTGACACCTATGGCTAATGCCACTGGGCTTGTAGAGATATCCAGGGAATCACGTGGCTCGGTGACAGCCCATTCACATGGGAGAGAGCTGTGAGCCCTCCCTGGCTAGCCAGAGATGGACTACGCGATGTGACGCTGGCAGACCCAGGCAGATGGCATTAGCTAAGAACTAACAGACTCATAGCTGGAGACGAAACCTATTCACCTGTGTGTTCGTTTAACTCAAAATAGGGATGAGTCTTACAAGAGCCCATTTAGTGTTCAGACTCTGCAATGCTTGGAAGTTGCTGCCTGCATTAACCTCATGGGCAATGTCTCTATTCCAGGCCATAGGCGCCGACCCTGTGGGTGCTCCAGGGCTGGAGCACCCACAGAGAAAAATTAGTGGGTGCTCAGCACCCACTAGGGTGACCAGACAGCAAATGTGAAAAATCGGGACGGGAGTGGGAGGTAATAGACACCTATATAAGACAAAGCCCCAAATATTGGGACTGTCCCTATAAAATCAGGACATCTGGTCACCCTAGTACTCACCGGCAGCCAAGCTCCCCCATCTCCTCCCTCCCCCAGTGCCTCTCGCTCACCGCCAGCCCTGCTGATCAACTCCTCCCCCTCCATCCCAGCACCTCCCGTCCACCGCAAACATCTGTTTCGCAGCATGCAGGAGGCTCTGGGAGGGATGGGGCAGAAAGAGGCAGGGGTAGGAAGAAGTGGGGCAGGGGCGGGGACTTAGGAGAAGGGGTGGAGTGGGGGCGGGAGCTGGGGCGGGGGGGGTCAAGCATCCCCCGGCTAGAGGGGAAGTCGGTGCCTATGTTCCAGGCTATGGGAAACATGTACGTTTTGCTTTATAACATTGAAAGTGTTTTCTCTGAACTTGGGGACCAGGCCAGACTCCAGGCCTCAGCTCAGATGCTGCAGCATTAACTGAGCTTTTGTATCCCATTCCCTGACCCCTGAGCAGCCAGTCCCCTGGAGCCCATACCCAGATGGGGAAAACCCCATCTCACATTCCCCATTATCACGGACAGCACAGACAGATGCAAATAGAGTGGCTGGATCCTAGTCATTTGTTATTCCTACTGCTCTGGTCTGACAGACAGCTCAGACTGCCGGGTTTAACAGCTGAGTGGCTGAGGCTCCCCTCCCCTGGCTGACAGAGATCCAGGAGCGAAGGAAACACTCACAGGGATGGGATTTCAGAAAACTCTGTGTTGATTCCAGACAGGGCCGGCTCCAGCTTTTTTGCCGCCCCAAGCGGCGAAGAGAAAGAAAAAAAAGAAAAAAAAAGCCACGATCGGCCGCACTTCGGTGGCTACTCTACCGTGCCGCTTCATTCTTCGGCGGCGGGTCCTTCCCTCCGAGAGGGACTGAGGGACCCGCCGCCGAATTGCCACAGAAGACCTGGACGTGCCGCCTCTTTCCATTGGTCACCCCAAGCACCTGCTTCCTGCGCTGGTGCCTGGAGCCAGCCCTGATTCCAGAGGCCACAAGTAAAGAAGGCAAATGGAGGGAGGGGAGGGGACTTAACTATCCAGACATATGATGGAAAAGTGATGGGCAAGATACAACATTTCCTGTAAGTGTTAGACCTTTCTCTGCTAGACTGAAGAAGCTATTATTAAATATTTGTTCCCCATGTAGGTACTTATAGACTGTGATCATGTCACCCCTTAACCTTCTCTTTGTTAAGCTAAATAGATGGAGCTTCTTGAGTCTATCACTCGAAGGCAGGTTTCCAATCCTTTAATCATTCTCATGGCTCTTCTCTGAGCCCTCTCCAACTTATCACCATCCTTCTTGAATTCTGGGCCCCTGATCTGAGCACAGGGTTCCAGCGACAGTCGCACCAGGACCAAATCCAGAGGTAAAATAACCTCTGTGCTCCTACTCGAGATTCCCCTGTTTATGCATCCCAGGATCACACTGGATCTTTTGGCCACAGCGTCTCACTGGGAGCTCATGTTCACCTTGACCCCCACATCTTTCGCAGAATCCCTACTTCCCAGGAGACAGTCTGTAAATATGGCCAATGTTCTTTGTTCCTAGAGGTATACATTGAGCTATATTAAAATGCATATTGTTTGCTTGCTCCCAGTTTACCAAACAATCCAGATCACTCTCTATTGGTGACCTGCCTCTTCATTATTTATCACTCCCCCAATTTTTGAGTCATCTGCAAACATTATCAGTGCTGATTTTAAGTTTTCTTCCAGGGCATTGATAAAAATGGTAAATTGCATAGAACAAGAACAGAACCCTGAGCCCACAAGAAATGTCCATTTCGTGATGATTCCACATTTACAATTACATTTTGAGATCTATCATTTAGCCAGTTTTTAACCTATATTATGCGGGCCATGGTAATTTTACATAGTTCTAGTTTTTTAATCAACGTGTGCGGTACCAAGTCAAATGACTTCCAGAATTATAAGCATATATCATCAACACTGTTACCTTTATCAGCCAAAGTTGTAATCTGATCAAAAGGAGACAAGGTCTGTGAGGTGATATCTTTTATTGGACCAACTGTTATTGGTGAGAGAGACAAGATTTGAGCGTACATAGAGCTCTTCTTCAGGTCTGGGAAAGGTTCTCAGGGTGTCACAGCTAAGTACAAGGTTGAACAGATTGTTTAGCATAAGTAGTTAGCACATATTTCTTTCCACGCTCTTCATCACAAGCAAGCTCCGCACAGACCAGGACCCACCAACTCAAAATAGCATCAGACCCGGACAGAACAAAAGATTCAAAACTAGCAGACATATCTCCACTGTTACAATGACCAACACCCACCCCCCACAACACATCTTTCTAGATCCATGGGTCCTACACATATCCATCACAACATGTGGTGTACCTTATCCAGTGCACTAAATGCCCCAATAACAAGTAGATGGGTGAAATGAGACAACCACCCTCGAATGAACTCACACAGAAAAATGATGAAAGACAAAAACACCTTATCACCCAGCCATGGGCAAACACTTTTCATAAAATGATCACTCCAGGACCTTTTGGTCCTCATCCTCAAAGGAAACCTGCACAACATTTGCAAAAAATGAGCCTGGGAGCTTAAATTCATAACTTTGCTAGACACTAAAAAATCATGACGTGAATATATACCCTGGATTTATGGCTTATTACAAAAATCTGTAATTCACCAAACCCCCTTCCCCCACACCTTTTCCACCCTCTTTCTCCCCCTATGACTAGAGAGGTGTTAACAGGCCACTTCAGCTTGACTGGTCCCTTGAAATATGTGTTAACTTCTTATGTTAAACAATCTGTTTCCACCTTGCATTGAGCTGGGACACATAGAGAACCTTTCCCGGGCCTGAAGAAAAGCTCTGTGTAATCTCAAAGCTTGTCTCTCTCACTAATAGAAATTGATGCAAGAGGATATCACCTTTTCCCTCTATGGGGTGCTCGCTCCATACCTGCCTTTCTATATGTTTTTCTGGCACCATCCTATAGGGTTTAATAGAGAGAATCTGATCCCTGATCTAGAATCGTATAGGATAGTTCAAAAATTCGTAGAGACACACAGGGGTTTTATCCTAACATCTACAAACTCCTTCCCCCACCCCCAATCCATTCTGATACCAATCAATTCATAGCATTTTTCTAAGACTAATGAAGATAATCTGCATGTCACACGCAAAGCCTAGCTAGCCCATGGCTGGTCTAGCCAGGCAAAGAGCCAGGAAAACAGGTGTCTCCTTTAATGCTGTTTCTGCAGAATGTTCTGGATCCAGGGGATGAAGGTGGACAGTCTTGTAAACACACTTGGCTCCCACAAATCCACGTCAACATATGAAGCAATGCCCTGGGCCACTCCATCATATACCAAGGGGCCACCAGAATCACCCTGGGATTAAAAATAATCACAGTTACATATTGCACATATCTAGCACGACTTTTCAGTAGAGATTGGGTAGCGTTGGGTAGAGTTGGAGTTGGGGACAGTTGTCCAGGACAGCAGTTAAGTTTGATAGAATTGGGTAGGATTGTGTTGGGTGGGGTTTAAGTTTGAGGAAGGGTTGGGTACAGTTTTTCTGGGTGTTGTTTGAGCTTTGGATAATGTTGGGTTGGGCTGTGTTGCAGTAGGGTTGTGTTGGGTGGGGTTTGGCTTTGAGTAGATTTGGTAGGTATGTGTTGCGGGGGTTAAGTTTGAGATACGGTTGTGTAGAGTGGGGTTTGAGTTTCGGGTAGGATTGGAAGGGTTGTGTTGGGAGAGTTGAGTTTAGGGTAGGGTTAATAGGGTTGTGTTGGGGAAAGGGATTAAGTTTGGGGTAGTGTTGTGTTGGGGGGCTCAGTTTGTAGTACAGTTGGGAAGGATTTTGTTGGGGAGGGGGGTTGAGTTTCGGGTAGGATTGGTAGGGTAGTGTTGGGAGGGGGGTTGAGTTTGG